TAGGTGTTCTCATTTTGAGTCTCTCAACATTTCCCTGAAGTGATCTGCAAATTTTGCAAAACATTCTGTTAAGGGTTGGGCTATGTTGAAAATAAAGACTATGGGAATGTCTAAGTTCTTGCTTTCTGAATTTAAAAACTAACTAAGAAGAAAGTAGCAGTTTCCTTTGTCTTCAGATTTGGAAGGAGAGTTCAGTAAATTAGAATTCTGCCCTTTGTGAAAACACAGATCAAAAATGAATAATAACCTCAAGGACATTATTTTGGCTGATGTTGTCTAGCAATGATGAACAGCAAATTATCAGAAATGCTGACAAGAGCTCATCAATTTTGGCTGCAGGTAAAACTTAAAACTGACCAGGATAAATTGTAGATGGAAATAAAATATTTTGCTACTAGCAAACTCTAGTTTTAGTCAATGTATCCTTAACTAAATTTGATTAGCCCCTTTAAGAATGAATTAAAAAGAGAATGAATACTTTCAAAATCCTTTCAATATTTGATGTTTTCATATTTCTCTTTTTGGGTATATGTTTACAGAATACCTACATGTATCTTGGAGAAGTGATACATAAACATATCAGATCTTAATCACTTCACTGCTCCTCCCTCATCCTCCCAACTTCAGATCCCCATCTGATCACAATAAAGGCTCCCTACTGTTTCCCATCATCTTATATTTTGTTCTTGAAATTATAGTTCAAGTTTCTTACATAAGAAATCATGCAACAGTCAACCTTCTGTGTCTGATTTGTTTCACTTAGCATGATGGTTTCAGAATCACCCATTTTCCTACAGATGACTGCAGTGTATCCTTCCTTCTGTTATTTGCAAACCAAAGCATTTGGCAAAATTTTGTTTTTGTTTGCAAACTGTGTTGCATGACAAACATGACCATAACATCTTTCTCACATGAACATAAACGTGGCCATATTTTCCAAAATAGTGGAAAGAATGAAGTTTCTGAACCAAGGTACTACTATATATATTATATATATTATATATTATATATGTATTATATATATCACAGTTTATCTATTCGTCTGGGTGGATTCAGCTTGGTGGTCATATAGGCTGTTTTCTAAATTTAGCTAATATTAATTGTACTGCTATAAACATGGATGTGCATGTATCAGTGAATATATCTTTTTTTCAAAAATCATGATTTATTGAATTTATGGTTAGGTACATTCATTTCATTTATTTCTATTGTAGCTAGTTCATATTTTTCAGTTTTTTCATACTAATGTATAGAAATACTATTGATTTTCTATGTTTAACTCACATATAACAATCTCACTGAACTCTAGGCTTATTTTTAGTTATTTTCCTAAAAGAGTCAACAATATCCTATTACATGTGGCAGACTATCTTGTATTTTTAATTATGAGAAGTGCATTATAAATATGACACAATAATATTTGTACCTGATTTATGTATCTTTTCTTTACCTTGGCTGTAGAATGGAGACTGTTGGGATATGTTGACCAGAAAAGACAATGGAAAGCATCTTAGTTCTGTTCTTCCCTTTAGTAGAAATTTTTTTTTTTTTTGCTTTAATTCTTTTGTTGGTACATTTTAGGTATACAGTATGTTTACATTTATCATTGGGTGCTTGTACCTGTACATGATGTATCTTGGTTCTTATTTTTTTTCCCATTACCTGTGTGCCCTCCACCCCCTCCACCCTTCCCTATTTACATAGACTTCGTTTCCATTTTTTCCTTCTCTCATAATCTTTCCTTCCCCTTCTTTCCTTTCCCCTTCCCCTCCCATTACCTCTATACTTTTGGACCTTTTCTTCCTATTTCAAATTATCAATTATTCATTTTAATCCTTTTAATCCTCATTTACACTTTCAGTTTCTCACACTAGGGAAACTATTCGGTATTTACACATGTGTGTCCTATTTATTTCACTTAAGAGGATGCCCTCGATGTGCATCCATTTAGCTATAAATGTCTCTAGTTTCTCATTCTTTATGGCTGAGTAATACTCCATTTTATTAAAAAACCCACATCTTCTTTATGCAGTTTCCAGTTGATGGGCACTTGGGCTGTTTCCAGGCTTTAGCTATTAAGAACTGTACTGCTATATACATGGGTGCACATATATCACTGTGGTATAATTCTTTTGATTCTTTTGGGAAGATACCCAGCAGGGGAATAGCTGGGTCAAATGGGACCTCCAGCCCTAGTTGTTTGAGGTATCTCCATACTGATTTCCATAGTGGTTGCACCAGTCTTCACTCCCACCAACAATGGAGAAGGGTTCCTGTCTCCCCACACCCCTGCCAGCATTTGTTATTGGTTGATTTCTTGATAGCAGCCATTCTGGGGTGAGGTGGAATCGAATCACTCAGTTGTTTTCATCTGCATCTCTCGAATGACCAGTGATGTTGAACATTTTTTCAAATATTTATTTGCTGCTTTTACTTCTTTGTCTGAGAAATGTCTGTTCATTTCAGATGCCCATTTTTGAATTGGATCCTTGAATTTGGGGAGCCTGATTTTCTTCAATTCTTTGTATATTCTAGATAGTAAACCTTTGTCTGAGGTACAGCTGCTAAAAGTTTTTTCCCACATTGTAGGTTGTCTCTTAGCTCTGTTGCTGGTTTCTGTTGCAGTGCAGAAGCTTTTTAATAAGATGAGATCCCAGTTGTTGATTCTTTGTGCTAGTTCCTGTGCCACTGAGGTTTTGTTCATAAAGTCTTTTCCTATCCCAATGTCTTCAAGAGTTCTACCTAACTTATCTTCCAGCAAGTTTAGTGTTTCTGTCTTAATATTTAGATCTTTAATCCACTTTGATCTTAGTTTAGTGCATGGTGATAAGTATGGCTCTAGTTTTAATCTTTGGCAGGTTGAAATCCAGTTTTTCTATCACCATTTATTAAATAGACTATCTTTCCTCCAATGATGGTGGTTGGCTCCTTTGTCAAAGATGAGGTGGCTGAGTATGTCTGCAGTTGTTTCTACATCTTTTAATCTATTGCACTGATCCTCGGGTCTGTTTCTTTGCCAGTACCATGCTGTTTTTTATCACAGTAGCTTTGTAGTATAGTTTCAAGTTGGGGATTGTGATACCCCCAGCTATGTCTCTGTTGCCTAGAATTGCTTTTGCTATTCTAGGTCTCTTCTAGTTCCAATGAATTTTTGGATTGTTTTCTCTAGTTCTGTGAAGTATATTGTTGGAATTTCAGTCGGCATTGCATTAAATCTATATAGTAGTTTTGGAAGTATGGCCATTTTCACTTTATCGGTTCTTCAGTAGTAGAAATATTTTAAACATCTAACCACCCAGTATCATTGTGGTTTCAGTAGATACCTTATCATCAGACTCACAGGTATCTTCTCTAGTTTGCTGAAGAGTTACTCATGAAACAAATGTTTAAGAAATAATTTCTCTTCACCTATTGGAATGGTGATTTATCCTTTAATTTTTATATTAGCATTTTTCTTATATTGAGCAATGATCATATTTGAAATACCTTTGCATTTCTTAATATACCATTTGTATTACTAGTTTTTCCTTTTGCCTCAGATTCCAGATGCATTTACTTATCCTGTCTCTCTACAAATTTTCATATTTTCTTCATGGACTGTTGCTCTAATTTTTGGTTTTAAATTTAATTTTGTTTTTTTAAAAAATAGCACATTGAAGTATTATTTATTATTTATTTATTTATTTCAGTTACTGACTTGTTTTAGAGTTTCTTTAAATATTTCTGAGCTGATCACCTCACTTGCCTCATTCTAGTCCTAGGATTTCCAGTCAGATCACAAAAGAGGTTATCAGATAACCAAACAGGTTATCTGGGAGTGGGTCTGCCCATCAAACTGGGCCAGGGAGAAAGTCTTATTTCTCTCAGGGTGGTGTCTGTGTCAGTGCTGGCAGTAAGACCCGAGGGTCGAGGGTCGATGAGCATGATAACAAGACTTTAATACAGTTTTTTAAAGTGAGAGAATTCAAAGTGTTTTACAGGACAACCTTGAAAGCATATGGGCTTTAAATTTTGGAAGTCATCTTGAAACACTATGAAATTAGGAAATAAAGGTTAAAAAATGTTGGTAGCAGAATCAAGAGGTAAGATAAGAGTGAGTTTGGATAAAGGCAGCAAATCTATCCATCGGAAGTCAGCTACCTCTAGTCCTTTCTTTCTGTGATTCAAAGTTATCATCCATGAGCAATTGATGAGGGAATTATATTCATTATCAAATTGTCTGCTTTACTTATTGCACATCATATGTTTAAAATGTATCACTTTCTCTCCCAAGCCATTCTTTCCTTCCTCCCTCTCTGTCCTCTCCTCAGCTCCTTTCCCTGTTCCTCCTCTTGTAAAAAAAAATTATTCTGCAGCACTATTACCAAAATCCTCCATTTAAAAAGGCTCTGAGTAATTCTAGCTCTGACACTAGCTCTGTGATTGGAACAGCTCAAAGGCTGAGCCCTAGGAACTGCCCGATTGGAATGCAGAAAATCCAACCCTGAGGTGCCCAAGATAAAGTCCCTAGGAAAGAAAGGACCAAAAGTCAACAGTTGGTAAAACCAAACTCGAATGCTGGTTTCCTAAAAACAGGAGAAGAGCAGGAACAGCTGATGAAAGAATTAACCCTTCTAAGTGTCTGGCTACTTGTGTGTCATTTTCTCCCTTCTTGTTATGGAGATGAGCTTGAGTGACCACAATAGTCAGGACTGGAAGCCAATTATACACTGTACGGTTATTTATATGACAGATGTTTAAATAATCTGTTTATATTCATGTAATTAGATAAATACAATTATCTAAAATGACTGCTGTAAATATAACTGTACCAAAGTAAACATAGAAGGTATGGATTGTTAAGGCCTAGCGTCTTGTTTCTTTGACAAATAAGAAGTCACAGCATATGAATGTGCTCTTGCAATTAAAAGGAGATAATTAGCAAATTCCAGTTCAGTAAGTAAAAGAAGAGTCAAAGTGGGAGAACAATTTATGTTTTGTTTTCAGACTCTGTATCTGTATGATGAAGAACATCAAATTCTTTATTAAATACTAAAAATGTCAAGAGAACAAATCAAGTTTATTACTCATGATAAAGAAATTTTACTGGCTACAATATAAAAAATAAAATCATTGAGCAATTTTCAGCACAACCTGTCAATTTTTAATACAGATAACAAAATACATAAATACATGTGTATGCTGTATAATGAAATTCTGTATAAAATTCACAGTTAGATGCATCTGATTATGCAAAATACAGGAAGACCACATCATCAAAGAATTCTTATTTAAAACAAGGTAAAATAATATTCTCCTGTAAGGGAAAGGAAAGAACGGAAAAGAAAAAATATGAGAAAAGGGAAAAATGGAAACAAAGTCTTTGTAAATAGGGAAGGGTGGAAGGGGTGAAGGGAGGACAAGGGAATGGGGAAAAACAAGATATATCATGTAAAGGTACAAGATCCCAATGATGAATGTAATTCTATTGTATACCTAAAATGTACCAATAAACTTAGTAGAAAAAAATAATATTCACCTGCAGGAAACACTGCAAACCATCTCTGTGTATCTGTTTATTGACTATGAGTCAGCAGATATTTATTTTTGGTGGGCTGAGATGCAGTACAGAGTGAAAAACATGGGTGGTGGACAAATCTCATGGAAAAGAAAGAGAATTCGGAGACTGATTTGATGAGCATGGTATTTGAACAACAACAAAATATCAAAAGTGAGTTCAAAGAAATCATGATACTAAACCAAAAGATGAGGTGGTCATTTTTTCTAGATGTCAAATTCAGATTATGTATAAACTGAACATTAAGTAAACTCAATGTCCAGGAGGCTGCTGAGTTGAGAGACTGCATGTGGTCATTGGAGAAGGAAAGATAAACACCAGAGAAATGCTAATGAAAACCCCAAGTGAACCAAACACAGACTTTCTAGTAGAATCTTCCACCTGGGTAATAGCCCTTCTACAGGAATAAGAGTGTTTTTTGAGCATTAATTACTGGTTATGTTTTGTGAAAAATGTAAGGATAAATGTAGATTCAGAAGGTTTTTAATATTCTTATTATCTTTGGTCAGAGGAAATTTTCTCAAAAAGTAAAATTAGGAAAGACATACAATAAATTTCCTTTTAACATGTTTCCATGTTTCTTCCTATCATGAGCTGGATTTAACACAGCTGTTCACCATCTTGACTAACATACTGGGTCATAATCAGCCCCCTCCAAAGTAAAGCCAATCAAAATCAGGCAGACACATAATGCAAAGTTCACTACTCTTTGTTTGAGGAGAGTTTGGCTCAATATTCATGGAGGTATTGGTTGGTACAAAGAGAGAAAACAAAACGTAACTAGGGAGGGAAGCACTGAAGTGCATTGTATTGTTGCCTGTTTTCTCTAAATGCAAAATTGAGTGATAGTCATCAGAAGCAGGTGTTTGTCACCATTTTAGATGTGAAATCCAAAATCGCTTGTTTGTAGAGTTACATTTCTTAACCTGGTCATGGGCTATAAAAGATGTTATTACAGGCATGATGGTTGGCCAGTAAGTGACAACATATTCCCAAATACATGGTCACCAAATGGAGAAAAAATGACTCCATATGGCTAGGAGTATGACAATTTATATTAAAATGGCAAATAGTTAGAAAGGATCAAGAAAAAAATGAATTCACAGCAGACAGTTAATAAACTATACCTAGAACAAGCAATTAGGCCAGGTTAGAAAAGGATTTCTGATGTATATGTATTACTAGCTAGTACTTGAGAAATAGCAGAACCGTAGAGACTTACATCGTGAACATGGGCATTCAAAGTATTTTAGCAAAGGAAAAATACAAGTTATATTGAAATACTTCATGTAAAATGTTTAATAGAGTTAATATTCTAATAGTATAACAGATTTATATTTTTCTAACATAATAGTCATATACTATGTTCACTCTCGGCCTCTTTCTCTTCTTTTTGGTTTTAATTAGCCCTTCTTTTGATTTTCTTTTGATGAAACCTACAACAGGAAAAGCAAAAAAATTATAAATGATGAGGAAACACACTATACCTAAAATTTCCTCCAATTATCTTCTGCTAAAGTTTAGTGTTACAATTGGTTTAAAAGCCTCTAATTTGTCTTTTCGTAGAAAAACTTGTGTCTATAAAGTCACTTTGCATATATGATTTAGCAAAAATACAATATGATTGTTGTTTTTCAGTTAGAAATCCATGCTTATTTTATTTCAAAAAGCAGAAGTATGGTTATGTATGGTTGCTGGAATTACAGATGATTTTTATTTACATTTTCATGATCTTTCCATTTGATTATAACCATTTTTATATTCAGAAGAAAATACATATGTTAAAATTTGCTAATTTGGAAGAAAGTTTAAGAAAAATTTTGGTGTATTCCTTTAAAACAATTCTTCATATTTAAATGTTTAATAAAATGTTGAACGTGCCTTGATTTTTGTCTATGATAACATGAAAGGAACAATTACAGTTGGTATGTTCTGCAATATATATTCTCTAAATCCAGTTGAACAGATATTTATTAACCAAATCATTATACTTTGTTTATATAATAAAGGAAATTAATATTTTACAGATTAAAATCATTTACATTTTAAGGCAATTATTATCCTAAACAGTATTAAATTAATAGGAAGATTGTCTTCATACCTTTTTTACATGCCCTAACACATGCTCTTTTAGAGGCAAAATTGTTTTCGTTTCCCCCACATCCAGTGTACTTAAACGGACGGCACTTTGCAGTGACTGCATCGTAGAAGAATCTGGTTTCATTCGCTCGACACAATCCTTTGTCTGCTGAGGTGAGACACCATGAAGGGCCATGAAATTCTGAAACATATATGATAATGTGATATGTGATAATCCATATATGATAATGGATACTGTGTTACTGTGTTAGTCCCATGGTATGTCTTTATAAAGTATAATCTTAATGCATATTAAAAATTAGTACATATTAAAAATTATGTATTTCATTTCCCAGAAATGCTTAAATATACTCCAACCTCCACTGTACTGAGATCTTTCTCTAATGAATAAAAATAAACACATTTGTTAAAGGGAAGTATTAGGATCACTCTTCATAGGAACAAACTATGTACATAATCAAAATAGTCACTATTCAACAATTCAACTTCTGAATGATATAGTACAATCACAATTTAATGTATAGGAACTCAGGAACTGGAAGTTTTAAATTTCAGGGAAGGAGCCCAGGAGCTGTTTGACTTAGTAGTAACATTTTTCTTGTGAGTTGACCCATCAGTTAAATAATTCAATGCTTTGGCAAAGGAAGAAACACTACCAAGCTAGTAAAATAAAACAATGGTTTGGACCAAACTGGCAGGAGGTCTGTTCATAGGACCAATGACTTTCAAGATAAGAAGAGAAAATGCAACAACCAGTAAAAGAAACACTCATTACTTGAAGGGAAGAGAGAGAATCAGTTTCAGCTTAATGGCACTTTGTGAGAGGCAGCTGGTATTCTTCAGTAGCCCAGGTAAACTCCTTGATGTTAGAAAGCAATTCTGCAGGTAAATTGTTGTGTGGCACAGAATCTACATAAGAAAACTTTAGCAGCTTTTCCAGACAGTCAGATGTGTTACTGCACATGCAGATGAAGATTTCTTAAATAGTCAACATTGGCAAAAAATAAAACCTTGAGGAATCTAGTAGACAACAAAGGCAGATAAGAGGGGAAGCAAGAAGCTGTTTTGGCAAATTAGCCCCAGATGAAGACACTGTAAAAGAGAAGAAATAAAATGAGGGGGGAAATCTTACTTTGATAAACACATTCTTACTATCTCCTCTTTCTAAATGTTTAAGTAGAGATTAGTGTATTAAGAAAATAATGATGTAATAGAGAAAAACAATTGGAAAACATTAGAGGGAGTGACTATTATAGGAACAATGTATGAAATTTCATTCACAAGTGAGAAGGGGACCAATCGAAAAAGGGCAGGAGAAGGGGCGGTATGGAAGGGAACGTAAAAAGATTTAAGATGCTTCCGGTACATGTACCAACTACTCAAGATGAATGCAGTCGTTATACGTCCCAAACATGAACTATAAAAAAAACAGTGATAATAAAAATGAGACAAAAGAATCTGGACACAGGGAGGGAAGTGGGTAGGGAGGGGAAAGGGAATAAAAAGAAAGAAGGTATATTAAGTGCATGTACCCACTCCCTAAGATTAATGTAAACGTCAGGTATTGCAAACATATAGTAATAAAATCAAATAAAATAATGTCAGTAAAGCAAAAAAAATTTAGAAAGGTGATATTTTGTGGTCCAAATTCAAGAACCAAAATCACATAAAGAATTTGAGGCTTTATGTAGGTCTTTGACAAGGTCTAGAAAATCTGCTCTTAAAGAAACTCCTAGGAGTTTCTGCAAAATTAAAACTTTCAAAATCATATAATTTAGATTTATTCATCTCGCTTTGTATCCTTGGACACAATTATATGCCATAATAATTCAAAATTAAGATGCATTTAGGCAGAATGTGTCTTAAAGGTTCTGTAAAATATTGATGTTTCCTTTCTCTAAGAACAGTTTATGGGACAGAATACTAAGGGTCCAGGAGAGGTATGGGGAACTGTGTCCCAGTATTCTACAAAGCATTGTAGTGAGAATCCTGTGCGTGGATTCTCATCATTCCACAGCTTGGAGTATGAAATGGTCACAGCTGCTCCCACCTTTATCTCATGAGCCTTTAAAGTCATCACCTGTGTTCAAAAACAAAGCAGACTAGAAGCAACTGCCCTAATTCAAGAAACAAAGGAAACTGATTTTCTCTTTATTTTGTTTTCAGCAAGCATTCGCAAACACTTCATAATAGATGTGAATGATGAAATAGGACTCATGCATCAGTTTCACTCTAGGATTTTGTACATGAGCTGGAATGGCCCACAGTAAGCTACAGATAATATATGTGAGTGTACTTGTGAATTATACTTTTCTTAAGAAATGTTATTGTGTATGTCTCAATAGCAGACCCCTCCCTACAGCACCTTATTCCAGGACACAGATAATTTTCAGTTAATGGAGCAAATACCTTCTTTTTCCCTCAATACACAGCCTGTAGTAAACCTGGCCTCATAATAAAAATTAAACAATTTCCAAGTGAGGACAAATTAGCCCGGTCCACATGGATTGACAGTTCCTAGACCGGAAGTGGAAGGAAGGAAACTGTCACCAGAGACCAAGAGCCTGGATGCAGGTGAAATGGGACCATCACACCTCCAGTGGAGCTGAAACCACTAAGGGCGTGTGTCAGGTGTCCCAGGGACAGGCACACTCACTCATCCTTTCCCATCCTGCCGTCCAGCAAGGTCTGCTGCTGACCAGCCTACTCAGAGACCACACTTCCCATGGCGCCTCCCAGGGCAGCGGGGAGGCAGGGCTGCGGTGTGAGAGCAGATGCAGAGGTGACTTAGCAGGAAGCTGCATGATCCCTTACATTCCTGAGAAATCCCACTGCCTCTGTCTGCTACTCAGTGACTTCAGAGTCAGAGCGCCTGGCCCGTTCCTTCTGACAGCGGGAGCTGGTGTGCCCAGGGGCGGTGGCCTGGTGGCAGTTTCTCAGGGAGCTCTCCAGGACTGACCCACTGGATGGCACCTGACTGTTCGTCTCTCTGCTTACATAGCCATCAAACACAACACAGCTGTGACACAGGCTCCTCACATCAGAAACAATATTTCCATAGTGTGCTAAAAGTTGAAATTAATCACTAAGGATATTGTATGATACATAGTTCATTTTTACAGTTATTTATGAATGCAATAAATTTACAGTTTGGGAATCTATTGAGGAAAACTACTCTTCAGAATGTGGATTGCACCTAAATTGTCAACTACTTCAGTTCTTTAACTATCATTTTTTAACATTTTTTTTTGTTTTGTGTTGTTTGTTGCTATGGACTGAACCTAGGGCCTTTGCCCTGAGCTGAATCTTCATCTTGTTTTTATTTTGTGAGACAGGGTATTGCTAACTTGTTACGGTCCCCAGAGTGGCCTTAAATTTGTGATTTTCCTGCCTCAGCCTTCGAGAATGCTAGCATTGCAGATGTGCCCCACTATGCCTAAATTATTGGATGACTGTGGCATAGATCACAGTAGATTACAATAGTAAGGGTAGTAGTTTCCTAAAGACATATTGGAATGAGGACTTTTTGAGTCTTCCATTAGCATCCTCTTTTTTTTTGTATTAAATTCTTTTATTTGTACATTAAGAACCATTAGCAACATCTTAAATCTCCAAAACTCTAAGAAAGTTCAACTTTTTTTGGCACCCTGTGGGGAAACAAGCTTGACCCTTTTCAATTAACATATTTATTCTATTCAGAGATAGGAACTCACCTATTCAAAATCCAGACTTTAATATCTAAAAGGAAAGGAAATATAAAGGTTTTGAAGTAATTACATAATGTGATTTGTTTGGTCTAGATTGTAAGTATTCACAGAAATTTAAAATGAAATAAAAAGACACTAACCTGACTTTTGTTCATTTTCCAGAGGGAATAAGGAATGTATTCTCTCTTCATCCTACCATTAACAAGTTGAGAGGCTTCCATCTAGGAGGCTTTGAGAGGTTTCCGAACTCAAGAGCTCCTTGGTTTTTCTTTCAGGAACTACCACAACCTAGTGAGACTGCTGTAATGGCAGGGAGAGCTCGGAGCGTTTCACAGGTAGAGTGGTTTACGTGAAATTGCTTTGAAATTTTTCCTGTAAACTTTGAATCTTGTCCTCACTCTGAACAAAGTGCTATCTTTCTTTCTATTCACCTGTACATGCCTTTTAGGCTTTCATGTTACTGAACAAATCAGGATTTATGAACCAACTCACGATTTGTTGATTAATTTACTCTGCTTCTGAAACGTTTAAGAAATTGAATAGCAAGTTGTTCTTTTTTTGTTTCTTTCCCTCTAGAATTTTGTAGTAAAGAGAAGTATTTTTAAATGTATTACAAATCAACTGTGTAAAATTTTTTAAAATTTAGAAGTATGATAAATATAAAACAAAAGTTTTTCATTTTTGGATTTTGGGCCTTAAATCACTCTTAATGGTTTGGTAAATATCTTTCCCCAAATTGTTTTCATTTGCAGTTATGTTCTACTTTACTTATTGTGATACTTGATAATAATTTATGGTTATATTGCATGTTTTATGTGGTTATAACTCATTTTTAATATATGCACAATAACTCATTTTATGAATTAATTGCAGTATAGTCTATGATGTAGATACATAAATCATTTCAATTAATCTTTTAATTCCACAAGACTTATGAATGTCTTTGGTTCAGAGGGTTCTGGAGATATTTCTTTTTTTTTTTTTTGGTACTGGGGATCAAACTTGGGTCCTTGCGCTTGCGAGGCAGGCGGTGGCACCACTGAGCTAAATCTCCGGCCCATGGAGATATTTCTAAAATTAGTATAGGATCAAAACTATATTCAATTTATAATATGGTAGATGTCACTGAATTTTCTGCAAAATTTAATGTGTTTATGTGCATACAATGATGTTTTAAAAGAACATAAACATTAGTCTACAAATCAAAGACCTTACTGCATTGTGTTTATTTACTGCTGATCACTTTTTCTTCCTTGCCACACCAATGAGCAGTAGAAAGGTATTATATAGGACAAGTAACTGGCTATAGTTTCTCCAATATTTTGTAAAATTATTTACATAAAATCTAAGGTGCCATTAATTGTAAGGCGCATTATTTTATGTAGCATTTATAAAGAAAGAAAAACATAATTACACTAGTATACACTATGTTACAAGCTTCATTATGCTTATAACCATGTTAAAGTGTTGAGAA